CCCCCCCCCCCAAGTGGCTGAAAAGAAATTAATGAAAAGAAAATTAGAAATTTGGCTATCTGTGTAGATCCAGCCTGTATGTTTCATGACCAGAGAGCAACAACACAGACAGCAGGGGTCCAAAAAAATCCCACAGATCTCCTGAACCTTTATCAGGTCACTCCTTTTGCCGTTCATACTTGCTAACCTACTTTTCCCTACTAATATGGGAATCATTTGGAAACAAAGTTGAAAGTAGCAAGCTGTTTGGGAAAACGTACAGACACAGTTATTTGAATTCCAAATAGTTGAACTATTTGATTATGTTTGTGTCCTGTTATTAAGAGATATTTATGAACATTAGTATAAGTAGAGTTTTTCTTTATTTTTTAAATGAATGGCTGGTGGCTCTTTGTATAAGAAATACCTCTTGCACAATGAATCATTTGACCATCTCAGGTTGAGGCAAATAAATCTATTTAGTCTGTTCTATCAAATGAAATTTGGACATTTGAGTCAAAATCCTGTCAATGGTCAGGATATACAATCCATCTGAACAAATATTACTCACTTTGAAAATGAACACAGTAGGAAATACATCTACTGAAAGGCTAACCAAATCCTTGCTCAGAAATTCTAGTTGTTCCATTGATTCAGTGAGTGCAGACTGGTTTTACTAGACTTTATTATTTCTGGTTCACTACCTGATTTCTTGACTTCTATTGCAAAGAATCTCAGTTTTTACCAAGTAAAGGTGCTGCATGATACAGAAGAAAATACCCGCTTCCCACACTGTTTTATAAACATCACCTTCAAATGAATTTGGGACTGTACTAAACACTGGCCATTGCATTTATATGGGGAATATTGAGAAAGATAGTCCCTAGGCACTAGGATTTAGCTAAAAAGACTACCAAGTAAGCAGGTATGGGAAACTGGACATAGCAGTCAAAGTTTATTTCCAGGCAACTGGTGTGAAGAAATTTCAAAACAAAACATATACTTTTTTAGCTTACAGGGTAAACCCAACCTATTTAAACCAGAGCAATGGACATGAATCAGAAAAACAGATCCCAAAATTCTCAGACTGCTGAAGCAATTAAGATCCTGCTCTGAACATGGCTTTGTACAGTTAGTGGACCATGTCCCTCCCCTTTGTAAATAGCTATTACTGGTAGCTGTTTCTTCTGCCCTGTTTTATTGTCCAAGTATTCCTTCATCACACTTGTACTTTAACATTCTGTGATTTATGTTCACACAGCGTATCCCAGAACTATGTTACCCTAAAAGGGACAAAAGGGGGGGGGGGCTCTAAAGATATGACTGGAATTACAAAAGTTGGAAGAAACAGACAAAATATATTTAAGTGGATGGGACAGATTAGTTTTCTTGAAAAAGAAGCCCAAACATCCAGCACAGGCTTTGGAGGTTGGGTTTTTTTAGCAATGTTACAGATAGGCAAACTGATTTGAATATGTTAGGATTAAGAGTGCCAACTTTAAGGGTCTGGTCTAAACCACACTGGAGTCAATGGACAGGTTTGAACTTACTCAGTGTGATCTGGATCAAGTCTTTACTGAAAACATACCAGATGACAAAATGCAGCCAAGCAGACCAGGCCTTCTTACCACAGCCATGAAATGAAAATTTCTTGCCAGCGTTCACTACTTACCAAGACAGTTGTGGCCATCATGGGCTAACATGAACCCATCATAGCATGTACACCTGTAGTTGCCTGGAATGTTGATACACTCATGGACACAACCCCCATTGTAGAAGTCATTTTCACACTCGTCGATATCTAAAACACAAGAGGAGGAAAAAGAAGCTTTTGTAAAACGAGAATGCTAAGAATACAGAAAAATTTCTCCAGCTGAGCAAGGTCTTCAAATATATGCATGTTCCTAAGCTTTCTATATACTCATATTGCATATTTCATCCAACAGATGGCTCAGGGAATTACTGACTGAATATATCAGGGTCATATAAGACTGAAAAGCAGCAAGCCACACCTGATTTGGTACATTTTTTTATGTTTAAAATGTATGTTTTGGGTTTTGTCTTTAAAATAATCAAGCAGACAATGAGTTAAACCTTTGAATTTGTTGTAACAAACAACTACATGAAACATGCTATTAATATGGCATAAGACAAGAGAAAAGCATGCCTTGTTTAACAAAAAATTGTATTCTCAGAACAAGGAAGATCTGGTATACTCCTGACAATACATAAGGCTGTAGTTCTGTCCAATAAACCTTGAAAAACGCCATTTCTGAAAAAGCTGTCACAGTCCACTGAGCTCTATGAAGTTACAATTGATAACTTGGTACAGTTTTGTCTGTGTCTTGGCCCCCCCCCCCCGAAAATTAAGTCCTATTATCATTTTCTGTATTAATTCATTTACTGCAACAACAACAACAACAAGTCCAACATTTTATTCTTGGAAGGTATGCTAGAATTTTTTTTTTTTTTGTACATTGGCCTATATCTGAAAGAGTACCATGATAAGAGAGATGCATTCTGCTTCAACTACAAACAATCCTGTCATGATCTTCCCTCCCTCATAAAAAAAATCACTTCTTCACTCATTCTAGAAAGTGCAAACTTTCTTCTTTTTACAGACTGTATCTTGGCTTATACATGGAATGTCAGCATCACAGTCACTGCCGTGAATCATTCAGTGGTCCACATCAACCAACTAAAAATACACAAATAATTATAGACAACCTCATAGCTTGGTAACTATCAGCTCTAAATCTGTGGTGTGCTTGACCAAAAACCCCAGCTACTGTCCCTAAGCTAGACAGTGCATGATAAATGGATAAAGTAATCTTCTTAGAAAATCACCTGTTAGTACATCAGAGCTACCCTGGCTGTACATTTCAATCGTACCTTCCATTGCAGAGGTGGTTGAAATATTTCTGAATTAGGTTCATGTTCATGCAGCCTTTTTTTTTTTTTTTCTTTTTCTTTTTTTTTTTTAACTTTTTAAAAGTACTCCAGGAAAAGCTTTGCTACCCAGTATCATACCCAGACACAACCCCAAAACAGCAAGGTAGTTTGTTAAAACCAGATTCTTCTGAAAAGCCAGCTCTGACTCAGTCACTCAATACTTTCAGCATTTCTGGCCCCTGGACTGAGTTTGGCTAGGTTTGTCCTTCCTTGCACAATCCTCTGAGAAGCTGCATCTGTCAAGAGCAGGGACAGGCTTCTCCCAAGTTTTTTTGCAAGCCTTCCCCCTCAGGTCAGCCCCTCCCAGAAACCTACCTGAAACTCAGAATAGCCCAGGTCTCCATCTACTTCCCTCCAACAGCTCTGAAGCTCCCCTTCTACAATCTCCTCAGCAGCTTGAAATGGGAATTACAAATTCGGCTTTATCTGCAAAACTGGTTGGCTTTTTTGTAACTCAGCATTCAGCACCACAAAAATACTAGAAATAAGCTGGAGAAAGGATCTTCCTAACAAAAATACAATCTGCGGCTTTCTTTCAACCACTGCTCTGTTTCAGAAAGTTCCCATCCTTTACTAACGATTTCCATCCATTAGTTGTACAAGTGCCGAGTTAGCACAGCCTGTGGATGTGCTCTGCTTTCTGGAGTCTAGTATGACAACAAAGAGATACGTCTGTGATTTTTCCTGAAAACAATAACCAACAAGTCAATTACTGCATATTGGACTCATTCCAAACACACCTGCAGCATGGCAGTGCAAAGTCCCAGAAAAGCCGCTCTCCTTTATTTACAGCCCAGCGTGCTTGGGTGCATATTGCCAAAGCTCTCCAGTGAGGTTTCCACTTAGCAGATATTTGCAGCTTCCATAACCATTCATGAATACTTCCAGAAACTTCCTAACATTCTCAGGCTACAGGGACAAAAAGAGACCTCTACAGCAATGCCATGTTTTAACAGGCCAAGTCAATAATCAAAAAGCACATAACTTGATTTTGATGTCAGGTGTGTCGGGCGTTCCTTCAGGACACTCAGGAAAAATGGTAACTTCATTTTAAGATGTGTTCTTAACTTTATCCAGCACTGAGTGTCATGGTTTAACCCCAGCCAGCAACCAAGCACCACACAGCCGCTCG